GTTTCCTTCTTTATGTGCATTAGCAGTTTTCAATTTTACACAATAATCCTGTTCTTGTTTATAATCAGAAAAAAATTTTAAGGAAGACAAAAAATTATTGTCTTAAAAAAAAAAAGAAAATCTTGAAAGAGCCTGGTGTGGAGCATCCCCCACCATGTCTTGCTTTTCTTCCTTCTCCGTCTTCATCCAGCTGCAGCGACGGCTTTCCATTCCTGTTCCGTCCTGGGTGGAGTGCGAGAGCCACCCATGCTCCCCGGGAGGGTAATCCTGCATTTATTTGCAAGTTGTGATACTCCTGGTTTTCTTTCTTCAGACTAAACAATCTCAATTGCAGTCACCTTTTCATCTGAATCCAACTGTTTTTTCAGGTTAAATCCTATGACGGGCAGTTCTACAGGGAGTGCCATTAGTTGCCTGGAAATTTGTTGTATTGAGTAATTCAGCAGATAAGTATCTTGGTAATAAGACTCCCAACTTTTTGCTATATGGAAGTTTGAATTATAATTCTTGTGGAAAGGTTTTTCTCCTTCTTCTTGGTAATTCGATGGTCCCAAGTTTCATTCTAGATGGTGTTCAGTGTTGGCTCTGAATGTATACCAAGTCCCGCGTCTTACTCTGAGCACCTTAAGTTCCAGAGCGGTTAAAAGCCGGGGAGACACATGCTGAGGTTAGAGGAGGCACTTGGCCTGGAAAACGGCTTCTTCACTCTCAGACTCGCCTCTCCTTTCTCTGGGGCCACTTACCTGGGCCACTGCTGCCACTGCAAGATGTAGCTTGTAGGACATACAGATGGAGATATCTGGTAGGTACTCACAGCAAGACTGCCAGTTGCCTATAAATAGTCCTTCTTCAGCAACAGAACTCTGGGCACACTGCCACCCAGGTGAAAACAGAATTTTCCAGCCTCCCTGCAGTTAGGTGTGAGCATCAGACCAAGTTCTGATTGCTGATATGTGACCTAAAGGATGAGTGGGACTTGCAGGAAGTCTCCCTTAAAAAGAAAAGAGTTCAATTTTTCTCTCACCTTCTTCCCTCTTGAAGCCTGGGATATGGATATGATGGCTGGAGCTGAAGGACTCATCTTGGACAATGAGGCCAAGGACTACACAAGGGATGGTAAATCAGAGCTGGAAGGAGCAGGAACCCTGATGAATCATGGAAGTGCCATGCCAGCCTTGGACTACCTCCCTGTGGCTTCTTTTACATGACTATACTTAAGCCACTATGTGTCAGGTCTCTGTGAGTCAGAGATGAAAGTAATTCCTATCTAATACTGAATTTGTTACTAGAAATGGAGTCTGCAGTAACAGAATCCAAAACGTGACATTTGCTTAGTGGAAGAGGGAGAAGGTCAACGTTAAGGATTCAATTATCACAAGCTGGGATTTAAAACATGGCCACACATTTTTCTGGACACGTCTCCTATCAAGAGACAGGATCTTTGTCTTCTCCACTTGAATCCAGGCTGGCTTGTGAATGCTTCTGCCAGTAGAGGACTGTGCAAGCGATACCATGTGACTTCTGAGGCTAGATCATAATACGCCATGCAGCTGCCACTGTGTAACACACACCCTTGGAGCCCTGGGCTTCCATTTAAGAAGACTGACTGTCCCAAGATCACCATGCCGGGGAGGCCACATGAAGGTGCTTTGATAGACAGTTGATCAGACTGAGCCTGTCCTTCATCCCTCCCAGCCTTTCCAGCCCAGGCACCAGACATGTGAATGAAGGAGCCATCTTAGATCCTTCAGCTCCAGCTTTCTGAGTCCTCCCCAGTAGCTCAAGTCATTTGAGCTGAGGCCCCACACATGGAGCAGATAAAAGTCATTCTTGCTGTGCCCTTTCCACATGCCTGACTCACAGAATCTGTGTGCATAATCAAATGGTGCTGATTTTATGCCATTATATTTTGGGGAGTTTTGTTGTCCATTACTGGAACAGCTGGTAATTTTTATTATCTTGTTAAGATAGAAGTTCGTTTTCTTTCACAGAAAATAAGTCCAGAGCTAGGGAGACGAGGTCTGGTTTGGTGTCTTCATAGTCAGCAAGAGCTCATGATGGGTGGAGCTCCAGCAGCCATATTGAACCAGAAGGCAAACTTGAGGATAGCAGAAGCAAGTGTTAAAAGGAGCCTGGGTCTCTGATAAGAAATAGAGAAATGTCTTCTATCTGGTTTAAGCCACTGCAATTTTAAATCTTTCTGGCTATGTAGCAAAAGTAATGCTAACTGGTATAGAATTTGAATACATGAATCAAGAACTTAGGAAATTGGCGTGGCTAGAGCTAAGGGTTTGAGAGTTTTCCAAATAGAAGCAGTAGGTGAAGTCCTGGGTGTAGCTGAGATTGTTTAAGGAGCGTATAGGGTGAGAAGTGGGGAGAGCTAAGGAGAGACCCTCAAGGAATACCAGCAATTAAAGGAGAGCAGGGGCAGTGAGGACAGGGGAGGGGTTTGAAAGTGGGAGGAAATCCAGGACAGAAGGTGTCCAGCAAACATGGCCCCTTCCCTTTAGGGCTGGGTTGGCAGCCCCTTATGTGTGTGCCTTGTGTACACAGCTACCCTGGAACTTTCTCTTTGTATTGCAAGACTGTTTCCAGATTAGGCCTCCTACATGGGACCAGAAGGAAACTCCTTGAAGTGTGGGGTCAATTGTTCATCTTTTTTTATTGTCCCAGGGCCTACCACAGTGACTGGCACATAGTGGGAAGGCAATAAATTTTGCAAGTGGAACTGAATTGACAACTGCTGTTGGCAAGGAAGTCACGGGAAGGGAGGGTTTCAGGAAGGAGGGAGTGGTCAGCAGTGCCAAATGCGGAGAACAATCAAATCAGATAAGGCCTGTAAAGGCTCAGTGTTTCTGGCAATTAGGAGGCCACCGGTGACCTTGGAGAGAAGTGTGGGGAAACACCTACTGCAGGACGGGGTGACTGGGCTGTGTGGCCCCTGGTGTGCTGGCTGCCCTCTGGGGAAGGAAAGGGGAGGCAAGGAGGGAGGGCCACTGAGGGGAAAGGAATTTCATTTAATTTTTCTGTGTAATCACATTACAGGCAGAGAGCAGGGAACCTGAGGAGGGGGCCTCCCTGACCTCTGCAGCACGCTGTACCCTTGCCCTTCTCAGAGCTCATGATGCTTTGTCCTTGTACCTGCTATGGTCCTTGCTCCTCTCCTGCTCTGTGACATCACCAGCATTGTTTGAGAAGCTGTCACTAACTTCTCAAGTCCGTCTAAAGATCTTTTCATGTTCTTCTCTCCAACCCCAATGTAAGTTCCTGGAAAGCAGAGGCCGCCTACTGCCGGCTGTGTACAAGGAGGCGCTCAGCTGCCGCTGGCTGCCCTTCCTTCCTCTCCATCAAGGCTTCCTGCAAACCATCTGAGTTTCCAACGGCCTGGGTCAGCAAGATCCGGGCTCCATGGGCTGCTGACATGGCTTCATAAGAACAGAGGAGCCCCCCACCACAGGAAGGTGGGGCCCCCCAGGAGGAAAGGGAGCCGGGGAGGAGAGGAGGGATGGGATGGAAATGGCCTTCTCACACCTCTGGCAGTGGCCTATGGGAAGCCAGGAGGGATGCAGGCAGGCGTTATGCATGTTTTGCAGCATCAGATAACGAAAGCAGCTGAGTCAACAGCATTTACCCACATGGCCATTTATTCTGTGTTCAGAAATACAATGACTTTATAAACCTCATCTTACATACTTTGATGAGCCCAAGGCAAGGCTGCCTTCACCTTACAACAAACAGGTCTTGCCGTGGCTCACTCTGATAATTTAAGGAGAGCCTGTTTGTTGCAGATGGAAAGAAAAGATGTCAAAGTGGAGGCAGCTGGATGCTCCGGTGGCGGGGAGGGGTAGCATCCCAGGTTAGCATTATCTGGGTGGGGACCAGTTTTGCAGGTCCAGAAGCCCAGGTTATAGGCGCCTCAGGGGAGTTGATAGATTCGTACTTTCCAAGCTTATGGGAGGGGGAGGCAGAAATCCACACCTCTCAAACTGTAATATGCATAGGCATCACCTGGGGGGGTCAGTGGCGAGGAGGCGGGAATCTCCTTAAGATGGAGATTTTGATTCTCTAATTGGGTATGGCTGGGGCGGGGCCTGAGGCTCTGCATTTCTAACCAGTTTCCCACCACACTTTGAGTGGTGAGGACATAAATTGGAGGTCAATTTTTCTAAACTTTGGTACCTGTCATCACTCGTCTCCTAACAACCACTGGACCGCATAGGGAGCATCATGGCCCAGAAAGAGGGCCATGTCTTCCAGGTTTGTTGGGCTTCATGTGGACCACATGCCTTTCTGATCACACCTTCCATCAGCCTGGGCATCTCAATGTCTCAGGTTACACAGCTCTTTGGTTAAGTTCCCAGACCGATGGGAGGGCTGGACGCTTTGATTAGGCTCCTCTGTGTCCCAGGGCTTTCCCAGCGATTCATCTGGAAGCCATCTTTAAGGATGAGCCTCTTTCTCAGAGCTAACCTAGTGCTTTCTGGGTTGATCCTTCCTAGTTTCATTTTCTCAGGGTGACTCCAAGAGTTGGGATGTGCTGGCTGTGGTGTTTACATGATAAATAAGAGGAATCCCATTTAGAAACAAATAATCCCATATGGAAACCAGAGAGGAGGGTCGTATGAGAACTGAGATGTGCTCCTGGAGCAGGTTGGTGAGGAGCGTCGGCCTCTTGGAGTGGGCGGCCCTGGGCAGCATCACCCACCTGATGCCTGACTCCTTTACCTGCCCAGACATCCCTGAGCTGCATCCCAGGCCTGGTGAACCTGAGCTGCAGACTCGGGCTTTGCCTGGCATTTCGCCAGAGGAGAACCTCAGGCGGGACCACAGGATCACCAGTCCTGGGCTCTGAATGGCTCAAGAGGGGTCGCTGAAGGCTGTCACCTGTTTGGCTTTGCTGTTGAAGAGATGGGGACATCTCTAATGCTCCATCTAGATCTTCTAGCATCACACTTCTTATTAACACCCTGACTCATAAAAATAAAAACCACAAAATATAATTGCCTATAAAAATCACAGGAATATAATTGCCTTAAATTTAAAGCATTTTTCCAGGGGACCCTGAGTGCTCCTCAGGTCTTCTTGTGCGTTCCCCGAGCCTCCGAGCGAGGGGGCTGAGAGGAGCACAGAGGGGAGGGCCCTGAGCTCCAGTTCTGGGTCTGAGGTTTCTGGGGAACCCGCCTCTCCCTCAGGCCAGGCTTTCATTCTCCACTTTCAGCATGTGTGCAAGCCTGCAGCTATGGAACCCCCTTCTCTCCAGGGAAAGGTTTAAAAAATTCCAGTGGGTTTAAAACCCCAATATATCTTCTTGTTATTTTCCTTTATCTCTTTCTCTCTCCCTGTCTCTCTCAACTCTTTTCAATTTTTAGATTTTGATAGAAAGCCCGGGCCAGCCAGCCTGCACCCCTTGCCAGAACGCGGAGCCTGCTGTGCAGTCCGTCAGCCCTGAAGGGCTCGTGCCTCTGATGGTGGAAGCAGACACAGGATGGGGAGGCTCCCGGGGACTTAGGAGGGACACTGGCTCTTCAGGCGTCTCTTCTTCTCCACTGCCAGCCGCAAGGCCTGAAGGAGCCTGTCCTTGTTATTCAGGATGTTGTACTCGGAGAGCTTCACCAGCTTGTCGAAGGCGGCCTCTGTGTACGTCAGCTCCTTGGTGGCGTAGGGAGTTTTGGGGCCATAAATGTCGACCTGGCCCTGCTCCAGCTCCTCGGGGTTTCGCTCCACACCTGGGGGCAGCAGGACTCACTATAGACCCTTGTCATGTGAGGTTGCAATGACTTGTTTGTGTATCTTTCCCCGGGGCCTGCCCCTGCCCACATGGGCACACACACCTGCATGAAAACGTGCACACACATGCACACTCACACCTGCACAGGTGCACACATCCTCCAAGCTCCTCAGGGCTGGCACGCAGCTTGCCCATCTCAGGACTGCCCTGACACCAACACAGCCCCATGTGCATAGCTGGAGGTCAGGAAATGTGGACTGAAAGGGTAGAGTTGGATGTTGCCAGCACCTGGGGGCGTGGGAATCCTTTCTTTCTCGCCAAAGCCAAGGTTGGCCCAGACTGGAGCGGAGCCAGGCTCCCCCATTAGTGCTATAAGACGACGATACACGTCTAAGGACGGGAGCACTCAGTCCAAGGCCAGCGGGTGGTGGGAACGGAGCCCGGAGATGGCTTACCTGGGGCCTTGTACTTCTGGAAGGTGTCGTTGATGAGAGGGAAGAAAATCACGACGGGGACATCAGGTTCCTGCAGGTTCTCCATAAGGTAGCACTCCTTGAGCTTCTCCTCCTCCTCCTGCAGCTCATACTTGGGGAAGGGGATGTTCTGCACGGTGCAGTACTCACAGGTCTGCTTCATGGGCTGGGATAGCACAGGAGGATGGGTTTGAGGATTCGGAGGGGTAGGGGTGGATAAGAAGCGCAGCTTCCTGATTTCCCCAGCTAACCACTCAGGGCTCCCACTGCTCTGCCTATGGGTGCTATTTTTAGGACAAAGCTGGGTCAGGACAAAGGGCCTGAGGCAATAGGTTGGTGTGTGTCCAACTGCAGCCTCCTTCCCCAAGGAAAGTAGACAGAAGCCCTTTCAATGATGCTTCACTCAGACACAGACCTGGGTGGATGTGGTGGCAGCCTGAGAAGGTGATGGCTATGGCTGGCCAGGCTCCTGTGGGACATGCATGGGCTTTGGAACTGACAAAGAGCTGGAAAGGACTCTGAAAAGGCATCTTTATAAATATGATGCAACAGAAAGAGCAGTGGACTCCGAGTGTCATAACCCCTCAGTTCTACCCCGTTTCACACTCGCTAGCTGTGTGATCTTAAGCAAGCCACTTACTCTCTCTGTGTCTCAGTTTCCTCACCTATCACATGGGAATAATAGCAGTTGCACTGTCTGCCTCAAAGAGCCGGCATAAGGATCAAGTGAGATCAAATGCAAGAAAGCACGCTGTCACTCATTTACAAACAGGTCATTATCACTAGGTCATCTTTAACGGTCTACACTCCCCTTTGCCTGCTCCAGGACAGGACTATACTAAAGTTGACCAAAAAGCAATTTTCTTTCCCTTAAAACTCCAGAACTTTTCAAAAGTAAATAAATACAAATAAATGAAAATCTCTGGTCCTGGTTTTTAGTGTAATTACATGGAGAGTCATATTCCTCAGGGGGCGGGGGGACAGTGTGATTATTTTGAAAATAGGACATTACAAGCTCTTGAAGTGGTATAAAACTTTAGAATTGTCTGGGCTCCCTTAAGGTTACTTTTTAAAACTTTTTTTTTTTGCAGCTGAAGAACTGCCAAATACGGCAAATGCTCAGATGCAAGAATAAAATTGGAATTAACTCAATGAGTCTACGTAAACCCCGGGCCCCGTCGCACATGAAGGCCAGCTGGCTGCCCCTCAAGGTTTGGACGTTAACCACACATCAGGCAGGGCGGCTGGAGTTTCTCTGACGCTAAGTCCTGGAGCCCGTGGGGAGCTCATGCTCTCTTGTTTTCCAGCTTCGAGGTGCTCATTCCGTGGCCTCTCAGAAGAGGCTCAGGGCTCTGCTCAGGGACAGCCTTTCTTCGCCTCACTCACCTTTGTCTGGGATCCGGCACAGTAGTTGAGATGGATGATGAGGTCGACTTTTCTCTCAGGCCGGAGGAGGGGCGGGTAGCTGGAGTTGACGAAGAACGCGGTGTCCAGCAGGCACAGGTGGTTCACAGACGCCGTCAGCTGGTTTGGGAAACCGTCCAGCACGGTGTCTGAAAGCCAAGGCTTCCGGTTACCATCACGCCCCACTGCCCTGCTCTCAGCGATGGTCAGAACCACCTGGTGGGCATGGAGTGCCCTGCCCGGAGCTCCTTCCCCGCAGCCTGGGCCTTCAGCCCTCCCATTCCAGCCAGGACACCGGGCCACCCTCTGGGTGGGCTCATGAAGAACAGCATTATCTTGGGGTTTTAGCAAGTCTCTCATGGAGCATGCACAGAAAACCCATTGACTCAGCCACAGAGCTTGTGGGGTGGCAGGGGTGTAAGACCACCCCGCGCCCGGAGTCCACTGCCCTTTCTGCCCCAGCTGGTGAGGATGATGATTTTTAGGCTGGGTTCAAGCAGCCTTTTGCAGGCCATGGCCAAATAAAGTACCTCAACTTGGTCAAACTTAGAGCCTTAGTGGGGGGGGAGGAGGCACTGGGTTGAAGCTGCAGGACCACCTTTAAGACCCACCTCTGCCACTTACCATTTGGGGGTTCTTGAGCCAGGCCATCCCTGCCCAACTCCAGGGGCACCATTCACATTAAAAGGTGCCCCCAGAGCACAACTGAAGAAAGTTGGGGACCCCGTCTCCCCATCAGGGCCCCAACTTCTACCTGCTGGGATTGCTGTACATTCTGCATAGACTTGTAGAGATTCAATTAATTAAATACACACTCCACTCCACTCGCTGCTCAATGCCTCAACAAATGTGGAATACACTCTGGGGGGAGTCTGCCACTCGACCCAATGAACATGGTCAGAGGAGCTGTCACATTCTTTCTCCATGACAACCTTGACATCCGCTTCTTCCTCCAAACAGAGGTGAGCTTCAGGGAGCAGCCAGGCAGGGTTACCTTTCCACCTGGAGAACTCTGTGTTCTGGAGGTAGTCGGTGTGCAGCTGCAGCCCCCGCAGGAAGTTGTGGAACTCAGACACGAAGGGCCGATGGGTGAGGATGCTGCGGAATGTGTTGGACAGCCACGACCCTGGGATCACCACCGTGGTGTCCAGGATGTTTTCATCACATTTGGGGATTTCAGGCAGGAGTGGCTCGTCTTCTGCAGGGCAGAGGGAGGATGGACGGCAGGTCACAAAAGCTGGGGTACCCAGATTGCACAGGTGAAGCATCCCATGCTTTCCAGGCACCCAAGCGTCAGCTTCTGCAAGTGCAGTTCACACCTTCCTTGCCTAGTTCTCAAGGCCCCAGCATTGGAGCCAGGAGGACCTAAGTGAGTGATGCAACAGGGGCAGGGTAGTGGATCGGGGATGGCGACAGGTAAGGAGGGGTTCCAGAGGGGATAGAGTCTAGAAGAGTGACCTTTAACTGGGCCTCATAGATCCCTACCCCCATCAGCTCTCCTGGGTACCATGAAGCTCTGCCGAGCCTACGGCACAGTGGATCCACTCCTCCTGACAGCCCAGAGCCGACCCCTGAGCTTGTGCCCGGGCGTAGGCATAGGTGTCTCCACCTGAATTACCCTCCCCTCCAGGCAGGGAAGACCTTCCAGCCCTAACTGCCTTCCCATCTCTGTGGGCCACAGAGACCATGTTGGAATGTGTGGCTGGTCCTCAGTTTGCGATCCACCCCCATCACCCAACCAAGAAGGGAAGCCAGTGGGTCACCCACCGATGTCGTGCACTCTCTCCCTTGTCCACCTGTAGAAAAACTCCTCCGAGGTGTGGGACAGATTCCAGGCATCAAGCAGGTTCAGGGAGAAGATGCTGCTCCACAAACCTAGGGAGCAGAGCCAGACGTGAGCAGCTCTGCCCAAGAGCCCCCAGCCCCACCCAATTACTGACTGGTTCTGCCTTGGCCTTGATGCCCCCTCCAAGTCAGGCTGCTCAGGGGGTGGGACAGACTGTGTTTTCCCTCTCCCCACAGGGCAGCTCGACACAGGAGACTGATGATCTCCAGCCCTCAGCTCTTCTCTGACCTCCTCTCAGAGCTGGGAGAGGGTGTGAAGGCATAAAAGGCACAGCCTTATGCAGGGACTTAATGCTGCCAAGTGCAGGCTTCCGGTTCAAGTCCAGACGCCACCCCTTGTACCAGTTAATACATGAGTTTAGGACAGTGGCTGGCACGTGGTGAGCACTTGATAGATGCAATGCTATCTGTCATTGTTATGATTTTAAAATGCAACACGTTAATAATACTCATATGAAATCTTTCACATACATTGACCCATTTGGATCCTTTATAAGGTTGGTTTTACTCTTAGGCCCAATTTGCAGATGAGAAAACCGAGGCTCAGAGAGGTTAGGTAATTTGGCCAACTTCACACAGCTAATAAATGAGGAGCCAGAGTTCAAGCCCAAGTGTCTCTGAGCCACATGCCCAAAAGCACAGGTGTTCAGAGGAAGGAGAGGCCATGATGGGCTGGGGGCTTCTGGGCAGCTTCAAGGAAGAGATGGGGCTTGAGTAGGACCTTCTAGGATGGGTTAGATTAGGATAGATGGAAGGGAGGGGGTGTAGACAACTAAGTTAAATAAGGGCATAACTGTTGTGGAGGCTCTAGACATGGGTCTGTTTTATGAGGTTGCTCTTTGACGAGTGTAGTTCAGACTCTGAAGGGAAGAGCTGTAGGAGTGGCCGTCACAGCCAGGCCCCTGCCCTCAGTGCACCCAGCTTCTGGAGGACCAGGGAGCGTTGCAAGTGAGCTGGGCCAGGCTTCCCCAGAGACTTTGCCTTGACCCTGTGCTCCCCTCCAGTCTCTTGGATCCCAGCGGCTCCATGGGCCCCTGGAAGCAGCCACACTGCCGCTTGGAGCCAAAGGGGGAGGAGGTGGGTGTTTCTGAAGCTTCCATCCCAGCTTGCCACTCCCAGTCTAATTCTGAACAGACCCCAGGGAGACCACTGGAGACCAGAACGTTGGGAAAGACCCCTCTCTTCCCCAGTGACTTGGGGGCCCCTGTCAGGTCCTTCTGGGCACAAAGGGTCACAGGGAGATCAGGACAGTCTGGGAGACCAATCTCAGGGTAGATTCGGGAGCCTCTCCTGGGATGAGGGGATGCTGGCAAACGCCAGGAGGGTCACATGCTCAAGGGGTACCCCAGACCAGCCCCAGCACATGGGACAAGATCCTGGGGGAACAGAGCCTGTCTCCCGGTCATTCTTTTAATTTAAAGGTGGGGCCTGCCCAGCATGGGGCGGGTGCCCAGGGGCCTCCCCTGGCCAAGTCACCTAGCATGTAGCACATCCGCGACTCTGGGATCCTCTTCATCAGCCGTCCCATGAAGAACTCGGAGCCAAAGAGCTCGGTGGGGATGAAGGCCCCGTATTTCTGCAGGCCCACCTCGTAGGGGGAGAACTCGCACCACTCTACACACGAAGCAGCGGGCAGCTTGTCAGTCTCAGGCCGGGACAGCCCCGCCCTCTCCGCTCACCACGGCCCTGGCTCCCCAGCCTTGGCAAGCCTGCGACAGCAAGGCCGCAGTTCCCCCGCAGGGTGCATGGGGGCGCCCGCGGACGGCTTCTGCTGGCCGGGCAAGATTCAGCTTTGCAACCTGCGCGGTTCATTTGCTCCTCAAAACCGGATAAACGGGGACCAAGACTGACTCCGAAGCAGGGCAGGTCTCTAGAGTCCCTCCCTCTGGGCAGCTAAGAAATATCTAGTACCTGTTCTCTTCCCAACTTTGTTACCCGTGTCCCATCAAACGCCTGCCCCGGCAAGCCATGAAACCACTGCCCGTCCACCCCACCCAGGCAGCAGGGCTGTAGAGGGTAGCAAAGTTGATTTCTTCAGCTGTCACTACAGTCTTTCGATGTGGAGGTTGGCAAAGGTGTGGTGGGGGTGTGTGCTGGGTGCCTTTGCCTGCTGAGAAGGGACCCCCTCGCAAACTGCTAGCCACCAGTGTTACCTCTGAAATCCTGGTTGCTTACATCATCCTTGACATTGATGGTGAGGTAGATGGGCAGGGGGTTCTGGCCCTGGCACAAAGCAGCACGCTGGTCTGACAGTTTGCATTCATTTCTCTGTGGGGAGATGAAATAGTTAAGGGGAAGAAGCAGACGAGCAGCCTGGGGACAGTGCGGACCTCCAGCAGCCCATTTCCTGGCTCCCGAGCCGATCAGTCACACTTGCTCTTAAAATGTACCCTTAGAATGTTCACTCTCCTTGGGCTGTTCACCACCCCAGACACGTGCACAGGGCTGGGACTGGATCTGCAGTTTTGGACCGTCCCTCAAAGTCCCAGGGTTTTCCTGGTGTCTTGGGCACCAAGGAATGAAAAGGTAGAGGTGGAAGAGGCAACACCGCGCCTTTTCATCCCCATCATCTTCCACCCCCCTCAACCTCAACTGGAGCGGCTCCATTTTTCTTATCAGCTTTGCATGTTGGGCTCCCTCATAAAATTTGTTTGTTTGGGGAAAAGAAAGCTTTTTTTTTTTTAAACAAAAGACTTGGAAACTTGGCACCATATGGCAGCCAAGGTCCCTCTCCATCGCTAGAGCACTGTTCATAATAATCCGAGTGGGGCCCTGCAAGTCAACCTGGGGCCACAGGCCACCTCGCAAAGTGATCTGGCCAGTGTAGACAAGGCCAACTGAGGTCTTAGAGGCCCAGGCTGGAGCCCGCCCAAGTGTGTGAAGGCCACAGAACCTGTGTGGGATGGCAAACATGTGTGTGGGCCAAACGACTCTTGGGTCTCCCTTGAAAGGCAAACAGGGCATCTGTCATAACTGGGCCCAGAGATATGGGCACCACAGAGCTGACTACCCTGGAAGTAGGGGAAGTTGCCCACTCAGGAAAGAGCCCAGTCCACACTCATGTCAAGGGGGTGTAAGGGAAATGTTCCTGCTGTGGCCAGAGGGGAAGAGCAGAGGCTCCCTAACGTCAAACCTAGTCTTGTTTTCCCAGGAACCTTGGTGCCCCTCCCCCCACCCCCCAAACCCCAGCAACACTCAGGCAACACCTTGGTGCGTTTCCCCTCATCACATGGGGCACAAACTACTGTTAGAAATATGAACTGCCACGTATTGATGTGACTCCCATTGAAGGAACAGCACGGAGCTGGGCTAGAGTTTAAACCCCGCCCCGCCTGAATCCAAAAGCCACCTACCTCAGCCTCAGCCTGCCCTGCTTCATCACAAGGACAGATTGGCTGGGGGCTTATCAACGGGGGCAGGGTGGGGTGGGATCCATCAAGAGCTGTGAGTACCTCAAGTCTGAATCCCCATTGCCTAGAATAGTTCCTGGCATGCAGGAGGTACTTATTTTGTTGAAAGAACAAATGAGGGAATGAACGAATGTTGAAGAGGAGGTTCGGGTCATCTTTGGTTGTTCAAATTGTCGGCGTTTTCTGGAAGAGGGGACCTACTAGAAAATAATTTGCTGTCCCTCCTCCTTCTGGCAAGTTCTGATTTGAATTCAGAACTCCTCAGACACCTTTGGGAGTGGAGAAGACAGCCATACGCCTGGGTACAAGTTAGGTAGGAAGTTCTGCTTTGGGGCCAAGCAACAGCCAAAGTCAGCTCCTCCCTGGGGCCTGTGTAGCCAGAAGGGTCCAGGCATTAGCTGAGCTCCCCTTGATGTCCAGGACCATAGCAGGCAGTGGGGATCCCAGTGCTCCTCGACGTCCCACATGGCTCTCACGGCAGCTGGGTTCCAGCAGAGGCTGGGTCTCTTCTTGGGCACATATTGCTTGGCTCACTGGATCTCAATACAGGAAGGAACCTCACTGGGCCCATCCTCTGTGTGGTGGCCATGAAAAGAAGCCCTGCAGAACTTCAACCACAGGGAGAGTGACTGACCAAGGGCCCCAGCTGCTGAGCTCTGAAATCCTTGACTGAGTTTGAGCTGAGGCCATACTTCCCATTGGGCAGCTCCCAGCCCGTGACGGAACGTGGCAGGGATACTGAGGGAGGCCCATTCTGGGGGAGAAGCCAGACTCCTCTGATGGCCATCTTGGCTAGAGGAATCTCCAAGGGCCTTGCCGAACCTTGCAGACTACACAATAGTCTAGCATGCTTCCATGAGCCTTTCTTCCCTCTCTCTTCCACTTGGGGTCAGACTTGCACCACAGTCTGATGGCTCTCCAGCCTTCTCCAGCTCCTTCCATTTTCTCTCCTGGGTGTCTTGATAGGGCTCTCAGAGAACATACGGCCTCTTTGCAGGGTTGTACCTAAGCCACTCCCAACATGAGGGTCTCAGTCATACTCTAAAGGGATGTGGGAAGATAATCCCACTGTCTTCCTCCATCATGCATTCGGGTGCCTCGTGCTTCTTAAAGCACAAGGATGCGCCTGCGATGTAAGTCCAGACACCCCTCCCCCCATGAGGAAAGAGCTGGACATCAGCCAGGGCAGGATGGGGCCCAGGAGAAGCTGAGCGCCTACCTCGTCCCCCAGACAGGCCTCGATCAGCAAGCCCCAGAAGTCTGTAAAGGTGACCTTGTACCCTTCCTGGCTGCGCTGCCGGAGCTCCTCCTGGAATTTGGAGAGCTGGTCTGGGAACAGGGCAGGCAACTTGTCCTTGACCACGTGCCTCCGTGCCTCAAAGATGGCAGGCTCCAGGTTTTTGGAGGACCAGTCTGGGTCACGGTACAAGGTAGCCATGGTCCTGGAAAGAGAGACAGGCATGGCTGACAGAGCTGAGCCGGCCCTGGTCCCATCAACCCTGAACCCTGGCAGAATAGAAGATAGGCAGGTCGTGGGAAACCCTAACCTGCCGGGTGCCAGGAGAGGAGCCTGGAGGAAAGAGGATGAGGCGGAGGCCTGGTTGGGGAGGGTGAACATCATTGCTTGCAGTCACACCTGCTACAGTTTCTTGACCCCTGCTGTGTGCCAGGGATAGCATGTTGCTTAAGAGAGAGGATTCAGGACCCAGATCTTCCTGGCTTCAAAACCAGACTCTGCCACTCATTAGCTGCGTGATCTTGGGAAATTTACTTAAGTGCTGTACACCTCAGTTTCCCCATCTGTGGAATGGGTAGGATGATGATCCTTGTACCAACCTCACAGAGTTATTGTGAAGATTACATGAGTTAATGTATATAAGGTGTTAGAACAGTACTTGGCACAAAGTAAGTGGTGGGGCCCACATTTGAACCCAGGCTTGGCTGGTTCCAAATCTTGGACTCTTTCCACTCTCCCACATTAATTCCCATAGTTATGATGCCGGCTAAAGATTGATTTCCCCTTCTGCTTCTTAACTTATATGTGGGCAGTGCGGAGGAGTAAAACAAAGATGGAGATCCCCCAGCCCAGGGTCTTCGCCTCTGTCTGCCTCTTCTTGGCTGGACCCAGCTTTTCTCAGTCCATGTCAGGACGGCCCCAGGAACCCCTCCCCGACAGTGGACCTTGTCTGCAGCTGCACGGGTGTCTGAACAGCGGCCTCTTCCTTCACAGGACTCGAGTCTGGTCTGGGAAGGTGGGGGTTGGGCAGGAGATTTCTTCAACAGAAAGCACCCTGCTCTCCATAGGGTTCACTCTGTTACTTTTACACTTTTAAAAAGCTTTACAAATGATTGATTTTAAAAGAATCCCTCCCAGTGATTTGCCAGGCCAGGAGCCTCTCCCCCATCCCGCCTCCCCCAGGCCAGCGTGAGTTCCTTCCCGGTTCCTGCCTGGCCGGGAGGATGCAGATGCCCCTCCACCCTGATGGAGGCAGACTTATCTCCTTAACCTACTACCCATGAGCAACAATTTGATGTGGAGGTTAAGAACTTGGGCCCTGGACTCAGATAGCCTGGGTTCAAATCCCAGCTCTACCACTTATTAGCTGAATGACTCTGAGCAAATCCCTTTGTTTCTCCAGCTGTCAAATGAGCACAATGACAACATCTCCCTCACAGCTTTCTTGTGAAGAAGAAATGAGATGATCCATTGGAAGCTGTCACCCCCGTGCTCGGTGCAGAGGCACCCCGATAACTGTCAGCTTTCCTCCCATCCCACCTGGGCTGAAGCCTGGGGCCCAGGATGCACCAGGAGCCCTTGGCTTTCCTAGAGCGAGTTCACAGCCACCTGCTCAAATGAACGTTACCCAGAGCTCCTCCAGGATGAGGGGCACAGCTTGGGACCTCGAGGGCTCAGAGGCCCACCGGTCCTCTACAAAATAAGACACAGTCCTGGCTGAGAGGCCTTGGGTGGTCACAGGGCCCCAGCCACCCTGGACCAGGGCTGCATTCTAACTTTGTGGGCCCCTTATTATGTTTTATGACTTGTATAAAGACAAATATAGTAATATTATTTATTAAACATTTTCTTCAACCTAGACGTTCATTTTTTTTCTTCTGATCTTAAAAGAAGTTAAAACATTTTTGTGGGTTCCTACAAGCCTTGTGAGCCCTAGGCACTGAGGCTCCCGTGGAGAAGCCGACCTCACACTGGCCTCACCTTGGGGAGGAGCCACGTGCTTACTCTCCTTGCTCATGGCAGACAGTGAGGTGGTGGGAGCCCACATGGCAGAGGGAGTGGGCAGGGATGTGTGCTGGGCAGGCATGTGGGCAGGTGATCAGCTGGGCCAGTTCCACTCACCCTAGGGGACTTGGCATAGTCTGGGAGAGGGCGGCTGCATCTCCCCAGCAGGACGGGGCCGGTGGCACCAGTGGTTCACTCATGGTTGGCCACCACACTCCTGGGTCCCTACCACAGCCCCTTGGAGATAGTAACGTCAATAACGCCCAACACATGTGATGTGTATAGTGTCTCCCGTGTACGCAGTACTGGGAGAGCTTCTCACAACAACCCCATGAGGTCCATGCTATCTTTATCCCCACTTCACAGATACAGACACTGAGACTCAGAGAAGTCAAGCTGCGTGCCCAAGTCACGCAGCTGTAAGTGGTAGAGGTGCCCAGGCTTAAGGAGTCACTCTAACTTGGGGTGGGGGGAACTTCACTGGAAACCCCAGGCCAGCCCGTTTTCTGCTTGCTCCGGGCTTCACCAGACAGTGACCCCTGGCTCCTTACCAGGTGGCCCCTGACAAGCCAGTGATGTAGCTGGCACAGTTCAGGATGTTCAGCTTCTGCAGCCCCAGCAGGTGGCCGTACATGGCCGTCATGGATCTTGTTCCACCCCCGGTGGCCATGATGGCTATCAGTGGTACCTGGGGCACACAGAGGCAGACAAGTGGGGCAATGCCAGGTAGGAGAAGACTTCGAGTGATAGACAGGAGCTTAGAACAGTGGAGGAGGGAGAGTTGGCTATAGACAGCAGAGACTGGGGTGCTGAGTGAGCTGAAAACCCCCGTTCACAGAGGGGCGTTTCGCTCGGTAGGTCAGGAGTTAGACCTTAGCTCCAAACCCAGTGGTTGGGGTCAGTAAATGGCTCTGAAGCCTTACACAGGATTGGAAATCAAAAAGTCACCGCTGGACGAGTTCTTAGCACTGTTAATCTAGCCCTCAGTTAGGATGATGAAACTGGGCTCCAGGGGGCTGGGTGGCTGGCTCAAGAACCCAGCCAGTGTGAGATTCCCTGATGGTTGCAAATTGACATCTTCTGCAGAGGGCTGACGTTAGGGCACCAGGCCCGGGCTTGGCACATGGTGTGTGCTCGGTGTGCTCCATACGTGTAAGAGCAGGAGTAAATGAATTTCTGATGTGGGAAGGAGCAGAGTTGTCACCTCTGGGTTTACACAGGTTTAAGATGCCTAAAGGTGGGACAGCGAGAGGGGCTCTTTGCCATGACTCCCTCTAACAGTTGTCATTGGAGCGGAGACTGTAAGCTCCTTCTTTCACCGAAGCCCCATCACAGCCCTCCTCAGGCATGAGGTCTCCGTCCCTGCCTACGGTCGGCCTCAGAAGGCGGGATCTCAGAGGGCTGACCTGCTGCCCAGAGGAGCGTGGGCCTCAGTCCACATCAGGATGGTGAGAGAGGGCTCTAACAGAGGCACCGTTTCTGCCCTGTGGGTGGAAGCTGCTCCTCTCCAGCTTCCAACTGCTATTCTTTCGGGGTGGTGAGTGGGTGTATGTGGGCATATTTGGGTGAAGGAGGAACTGAAGAATGAAGGGCCAAGGGCTTTTGGGGTGGAGGTATGGGGTGGGGGAGCTTCAAATGTTTTCCCGGCTGGGGAGAGGAGGTCACTTTGTCCCCACATCAGTAAGACTCCATTGGCAGCCTCAGGATCTGTTAGTGCACGGGCACGGGCAGCTGGGGCGCCTTCCTTTCTCTCTCTCCTCTGCTCTCCCCACCTTGTGAACACACAGCTGAGTCACATCCAGCACAGCCCTCACCTGGGCACCTGGAACCTCAGCAGTACAGGCACCCAGGGAGGGCAGCACCGAGGCCGCCCTGGGGCAGGGAAGGGCTTAGGAGCAGCTGGTACAGCCGTGTTGGAAGGACAAGCTCGGCTCAGGGCGGGCACCGAGCGCAGGCTGGCAGGTCCTCTGCATACCCACCTCGTCCTCCTGCAGGTCCTCCTCCAGCTGCAACACCTGCTTCAGCGCCTCAGCCACCACCAGCCTCCGCTTCTGGAGGAACTCCAGCTCTGCCGAGCACAGGCTGAAGCCCAGCCGCACGTCCAGTGTCTGGGGGCTATGGGGACAGAGGACCTTGCCTGAGCGGGCCTGGAGACTCCGCCTCCACGGAGAAGACACGGCTTTAGGGTGAGTTGGATGTAGGCTTGAAGCCTGGTTCTGCCGGGTACCACCTCTGTGACGTTGGGCCTCTCCTTTCTCATCTGTAAAATGGAGCTAATCGTTCTCAGCTCCCAGCGCGGTCTTCAGTGCTCAGTGAGATTACAAATATAAAGCCCCCCAAGCCTAGTGGGGCACTGTAAGCAGGCACTTGACAAAACTGGGGACTCTTTCAAGCCCACCTCCTCAGCAAGATCTGGAAAGTCCAGAAAGGTTTCCCCCAGGCACCTTCTATAGCCGGAGGCCAGACATGGGTGACAAGGGGCCCTGAGATCCTTTTGGCCAATCCCTCTGGACAAGGCTTTATAGTCAGGCTCTTCTGAGCTGGAATAACAAGGGCCCATTCCTGCGGCTCACGTTCCTTGGTGAGCTCTTCCTGCTTCCGGAGTAATGATTGTCCTGTGTATCTGTGCAGTTGACAATAAACCCTTCCCCTCCCTGCCCTCACCCCATCAACCCTACAGGTCTGCAGGTAGGTGGGGCTGGAGCTGCTGCAGCATGCCCAGTGCTTGCCCTCTTTTTATCACATCCCTGCCCTTAACAAGCCTAGGCTCCTGGCCTGGCATCCTAGAGCCTATCTGATCTGGCCGACCTCACCTCCCACTACTTCCAGAAGCAGTCCTGGTTCTGAGCCTTCATGCAGCCCTTGCCTTCACCAGAAGCTTCCTCCCTCTGCCTTCCCACATCCCTTGCATCCTCTGAGGCCCAGCCCCCTAGTGACTCCAGGCGAACGGACCTTGACAATTTCTGACCTGAGTCTTAGTGACCTGAGTCACTAACAAGGTCACATTTCTTTGTTTTGTTTTGTTTTGTTTTTGAGGAAGATTAGCCCTGAGCTAACATCTGCCACCAATCCTCCTCTTTGTGCTAAGGAAGACTGGCCCTGAGCTAACATCTGTGCCCATCTTCCTCTACTTTATATGTGGGATGCCTGCCACAGCATGGCTTGCCAAGCGGTGCCATGTCCGCCCCCGGGATCTGAACTGGAGAACCATGGGCCACCGAAGTGGAACGTGCACACTTAACCGCTGCACCACCCGGCCGGCCCCGGCCACATCTCTTTGAAGGCAGAGCCTGGGAGCTCTCCCCTCGTGTTTCCTCCATGTCCAACACAGGTATGCAGACACAGCTGCAAGGAAATAGCTCTTTCCTTGGGCTCAACAAGGAATGAATAGTAAAACAACAACAGTAATAACATTAGTTGATATTCACTGAACATCCCACTTGTCAGACAGATCATCGAGTACTTCACATGTGTTGTCTCACCGAATCCTCAAAGCGACTCAGTGACAGACTGTGTTCTTGGTATCGCTCCAATGTACAGATGAGAAAAACTGAGACTTAGGTTAAATAACTTGTCCAAGGACAAAGAGTGAATCAAATTGTAAATGGAAATTATGGTGACTTGATTTTTGACAAGGGTGCTAAGGCAATCCAAAGGGGAAAGACTAGTCATTTCAACAAATGATGCTGGGACAACTGGATATCCACATGCAAAAGAAATGTATATCCTAATTAGCTTGAAATCAATCATAGACCTAAATGTGAGAGCTAAAAGGATAAAATGCTTAGACGAAAACATGGGGTCACCTTCATGACCTTGGACTAGGTAATGGTTTCTTAAATATCACACCAAAAGCACAAGTGACCAAAGAAAAAAAGAAACAGAAAAGCAGGTACTTTACCAGGGTGTAGACTTCATGTGTAGTTCACAGTTCTCGCCCTGGGAAGCAGAAGATGAAAAGCTTGTCAGGGATGACCATTTGGAGCCAAGTGGTCCCAACCAAAGAATTGGAGGCTCACCACACTGCCCACTCCCTGACTGGACTCAGCACACATGTGTATGTGCGCGTGCACGCACACACATGCACGCACACACATGCTCTATCCCTACTTCCTCTTCTGGACGTGACCCTCCCCACCATCCTCACCTCAGCTTCTACGTGCTCTCTGGCTCCACACTGCAGCTCGGCAGTCCCCTACTCCACACAACTCCTCTAGCCTGCCTGAGAGACGGCCCTGAGTCACTGTCCCCTATGGGCCCCCCAGGCTTTCCCTATCTTTCTGCCACAGGAGCTCCAGGCTAAGCTGCTCAGGGGCCCCTGCCCAGCCCCAGGCCCTCACCACAGGCAGGGTCACCGTCTGGCCGTCGGGGAGGCAGTCGAGGGGCTGGCAGATGGGGCCGGTTTTCTTGTGCGCACAGCAGCAGCAAAGCTGGAAGGATGGGCAGGTTCTGTGATGGGGGGAGGGGCTCCTCCTGCAGCCCCGCCTGCTCCAGTCCCCTGTGCCGCACCCCCCGGCCACCGCCTTGTACCCCACAGCTCCATGGACTCTTGGGCCCCTCCACGTGAATCTGGGACTGGAAGTACTTGGGGTAGTGGAAGCAGGCAGGGTTTGGGCAGCAGGGCTCCGGGCAGCGCAAGATGCGCTGGGTGTGCTCAAAGGACTCCGTCACTGTCACCAGGTGGTCCTTCTCTGGAAGAGAGGACAAGAGGGCTGAGACCCCTGGGAACCCTCTCATTTCTCCACCCCCAATGGGACTCAGTAAAAAGTCTAGCTGGAGGCGCCCAGGTCAGGGTTTAGAACCACCTGGGGCACTGGTTAAAACGCCCTAGAGTCTCATTCTGTAGGGCAGTGTAGGGCCCAGGAATCTGCATTTTAACAAGACTTGCATGTGATGCTGACAAATGAAGTCCCCAGAAAGCCCTCCGAGATGCTGAGTCCCCTGGACTAGTCCTCCTCGGTTCTGCTTGCCCAGGAGGTGCCCCAGAGTCAGCCTCCCACTGCACTGAAGGGAGGTCCTCACTAAACCGCCAGTTTGAGCGTAGAGGCCTCTTCCTCTCTCCCTCCCCCGTGTGCATGGGGCTGTGCTGCTCTCCTCTTGGGACAGGGCTGGAGGCCTTGCATGGGTGGGATCCAGTGGAGCTATGAGCTCGAAGAGTCTCGTATCTGTGGATCTCTTAGGTCTCTGCCAGCCATAAAATGCTAGGACTCAATGAATTGTAATCTGCCCAGGAGACGGGGCACAGTTAGAGGGGCCCTGGGTGTTGACCACTGCACTAGACCCAGGAACCCCTGGTCTAGCAGGGGTGTGGCGCAGACCAGTGTGGGTAGAGTGGGCAGTGCTGTGCTCGTCAGGCCCAGGAAGCTCTGAGGGCCCTGTAGGCCTGGAAGAGCATGCCCCTTATAGGGCAGGGGGGACAACAGGGTCCACGACCCTTGAGGGTGAGGTGATCCCAAGGAGTCTGGGTCAGGATTTGGTTCCCTATGGAGCCCAAGGCAGCCTGGAAGGGCCAGCTCTGGTGCCGATGGGCTGGGGAGCAGCACGGCCCTCCCCACAGGCAGAGGCAGCCCAGGCTCACGTTTGCCACACTTTCTCCGCCTCCTGGATTCTGCATGCACCTCCAGGCAGGAGACCTGTCGAGACTAAAGCAAAGCAAGGGAGGGTCATTCTGAGCACAAGCCGCCCCTTCGCTCTCCCAGGCAAAGGGAGGAGATGAAGGACCAGAGGATAAATTCAGTGCTGGTCTGATTGGGCCGACCCCAGGGAATGCCAGCTACGCTGACCGTATTTTCTGAACCCGGTCAAGGCCTATCATCTCATTCAGAGATGGAGTATTTGAAAATGAAGCTGTCCTGAAAAATCTAGGATGTGTGGTCACCATTTACTAGGGGTCGTGTTCTCAGCTACAGGTCAGGGATGAAACTGGAGTGGTTTGGTCCAAAACCAAAAGAAGGAACATTCCTCTCTGGGCTTTGGAAGTGAGAACTTCCAATGAAACAGCCTTCTAAAGAAGCAGAGGCGGGTCAAATTCCTTTACCACAAACTCCCAAAGACTGGCTTTCGGGGGGAGATCTCCCTGAATCCTGAGGCTTTTGATGCATCTAACGGAAATGGCTGCAACGACAGCTGAATGATGAAAATCTTTAACACTGAACTTGTGCTCAGAAAGACTGGACTCAGGGAGAATGGGAGGGAGACTGATGCTGAGAGGAGGCTGCCTCCTGTGGGTGCTTCTATGGGGGAAGTTCCCAAGACGATGGGTGGTTGCTCTGGGATACGGGACGCTGGGACAGGGCGACCGGATGTCCCAGGTCCTTCCTCCCAGGAGCAGGAGCCCAGCGGCTGCCTCTCCCACCCCTGACTGCCTGCGTCCCCTTGATATTGGCTTCCATCAGTCTGACTCCTGGCCGGCTCCAGGACAACTGTTCTCTCCCACAGTCCTGTTCCCCTGAGAGCAGCAGCCATATGTGGCCCCTGGAGCTATAGGAACCCAGGAGGACAATTACCACCAGCACGCCATTGGTGATGAGGGTCTCAGGTGGATCAGGACTGAAAAACAAAAGGAGAACTCCTGGTCAGTCATGTCATTCTGGACTGATTTCTCACAAAGGTGACAAAGAGCCTACACAGGACCAATAATGAGATACAGAGCCTTCTTCGTCCTTCTGAAAAATATTGGCTTAAGAAACCTTAGATCTGTAGATAGTCAAGGAGAAAACTGGCATACATTTTAAATAGAATGTTCAGGAAAAAAAAAATAGATTTCTAGGTTAGAAGGAGTAGAAGAGTTCCTTTTTTTTTTCCCCCCTTAAAGGATAGCTGTTCTTTATGTCCAACCAGAAGCAACTGCATGGAGTTGTGAGGATAAACAGGTTGCAAGAAAAGGCTGGAGCCCCCACCTAGAACAGGCGTAAACAGTTCTGGTTGCAAAGCTGACCCCTTCTCCCTTCTGTGCCTTGTTTAATTTATGCGTTTGACAAACAGTTCTGACCCGGCCAGAGAGGGCCCTGGTAGATATGAAATGTCCTGTGTTATAAAGCCGGAAAGGTCACAATTAGCCCAGGGTCGTCCACAGCCTCCCTCGCCGAAGCCAAGCCTAAGATGACTGTGGCTCCAGATCTACTCTTATTACCAATTTTGACCTATTTCATTTTGCAAGCCACTTTCTAATTCAGCCAATGGATTTTTCCCCCCTAAAAGTCCTGTCAAACCAAGAACTGGCGGAGAGAGCCTGGATTTTCTTCAACGTGAAACTAATAAAGCTGACTTTAGTTCGTCCATCAGCTGTTGATGGGAAAGGAGGCACAGAGTCCCTGGCAGAGGACCCCCCAGTGGAATTTGACAAGCCTTCGTGTTCTAGCTCCCGGCTGTTGTCCTCCCCCTGTCCCTGGGCTGATCATAAGTCCAGGGGCTCAGTTGTGCCAGGGATAAGAAGAGGGGAGGCCCTGCTTCCTTCCCTCCCCGCCCCTTCCCTTCCTTCCTTCTCTCCCTGTCCTCTCTTCCCTCCATCTCTTTGACCTGGTTCCACTTGAGCCCCCAGCATAGTCATACATCTAGGACCCCGGGTCATCTTCCTAATTGAAAATGATGAGGAATAACCCCACTTGTTGGGCCTGAGCCTGCCCCCGACTTCTCTCCAGTGGTGGCTCCAGGCCAGAGTTTGGAGTAGTTTGTTCTAACAGTTCTGGGTCAAGGAGGAGACCCCTTGGTCCTGACATCTTTTTGAGCCTGGCCTCAACAAGCCCCCATCACCACGGTGACAGGAATTCTTCCCAGAGGCCACTCTCAGAAATGCAGGGGAGCTGAGGAGATGATCTGGCCACAGTACTAGATCTTTAAAACAACACTGACATCAGTGGAACAGGATGAGCAGGGGTGGGGCCCAGGCACCTATAGTATTTAGAAGCTCCCAAGTGATTCTGAGGCACAGTGAGGAGGCCAGGGGTGAGCCTGGAAGATGGAAGGACAGCAAAAAGGTGGGCCAGGCTCTGAGATGCCTGTGCCCAGAAGCTACTTGGGGGTCAGGACCTTGGTGGGGCCCTGGGGGGGGGGGGAGGGCGGCAGGCCTACTCACCTTTTCTCCAGCAGGAACTCCACCTCTAGCTCCTCCATGCCCTGGCAGGGGGAGAAAGGAAGGCTGCTGTAGCTGTGTGACCAGGACCCTCTGCTGTTCCAGGAGCCCCTGTGCACCTGCCCCGTCCTTCTCATGTAGCTGTCCAGCTGTCGTGGAGTAGGGGAAGCTGCTCCCCATTCTTTTCTCCGTTTTTTTTTTTTTTTTTGAGGAAGATTAGCCCTGAGCTAACATCTGCCACTAATCCTCCTCTTTTTGCTGAGGAAGACTGGCCCTGAGCTAACATCTGTGCCCATCTTCCTCTACTGTATATGTGGGACACCTACCACAGCATGGCTTTTTGCCAAGCGGTGCCATGTCCGCACCCGGGATCCCAACCGGTGAACCCCGGGCCGCGGAAGCGGAATGTGTGCACTTAACCGCTGCACCACCGGGCCGGCCCCAGCTGTTCCCCACTCTTGATGTCCCCTCTGCCTCTCTCTGTCCCCAAGGCTTTGATATCAGGAACATCACTGACAACCCAGGGGAAGGTCAGGGTATGGAGTTGACCCCCGGCCCCAACATGTAAGTCCCTCTGCCCCAGAACATTTCCCTTTCATCCTCTACCCCAGGCTTCCCACTGCTCTCCTGCCTTGCCAGGGGGCTCAGTGCCTCGGGCAAGGGAGAGCTGAGACCTTGCCCCCAGCAAGCTCAACTCCGAAGCCTAGGGTCCCCTGCCCTCATCTACTCCTTCACAGCTCTTGCTGTGCAACCTCAGGAAGTTGTGACCTTGCTGGACCTTCATTTCCCTACAGGAATGTAAGCCAGGCGAGGACAGGGATTCTCGTCCCCTGACATGTCTCTGGTGCCTGGAAGAGTGCCTGGCCCCTAGTAGGCATTCAGGTATTTGTTGAATGATTGAATCTATAACGTCCTGGTCCTTTCCAGCTCTGACTTTCTCTGACTTACAGATTTGCCCTTCTTTACCCTCATCTGTCCTCTGTCCCCTGGGGCCATCCCAGCAGCAGGACTCTGAGGGAAGAGAACGAACCAGCATATATTATATCTCCATTTTGTATGTGAGCAGTGCTGGGCACCTTAACTGTGTTCTCCCATTTAACCCTCACAACCACCTGTGTGGTAGGTATTATTATCACCATTGTATAGATGAGGAAACAGAACTCAGAGGAATTAAGTGAATTCCACAAGGTCACACAGCTAATAAGTGATAGTACTGGGATTTGATTCGGCAGCACTGTCTTTTCCTGACTCGGCTACACAGAGAGGAGCCCGTGGAATGGCACCATGGGAGTAACCAGCTGCTCCTCATAAGGCAGGAGGCTGAGAGCCTGGGCACCTGCACCCACCTCTGGGTTGAGTGGGAACTTCACGTGGGTTTTCTTTCGGAAGCAGAGCTTGGTGAGGTCATAGAGAACTGTCAAGAGATGGTCATCTGGTGTCACTGTGTCTTCATCGCAGACGCTCAGCTCTAGCACGTTCTAAGGGAGAAGGGAGGGTGCAAGTCTGGTTACTGAGGTTGCATTGACCCATTCCCTGGATGAGGGGCCTGACCTCAGTCCTAGCAAGGAGGTAGGTCTGAGAGATGGGGACCAGCACAGAGGTGCCTGCTCATGTGTGAGTGACATTTGTAGGGAAACAAATTAAGGGAGGAAAATATCTATTCCCTCCTCTCCAACTCTCTGAATCCTTCCTTCCTTCCTGCTCTGAATCTCCTACTGGAGAATTTTGCAAGCTTGGCAGAGGTCTGTGAAGTGTGAGGGATTTCATTTCACCCGGGGGAATGATGGAAGGGCAGAGCAAGCAAGACCCTTGCCAAGACATAGAATGTGTCCAGCCTTGGGACCCCAGGAGCTGAAGACAGCCCATTTGGTGCTAGAAAATCAAGTTCAGGGAAGCTAACATCTTAACACTCCAGGGGAGTGATGTGGCAAAGATTATAAGGGGTCTGATACTTGAAGGGGTTGGGGTGAGCTGTTTGAAGTCCATCCTTTGGCTCATCAGCTCCTAATGAGGTCTCATGGATGGTTCCAAAGCAGCATGTCAAGAGTTAAGCAGCTACCTTGTCATCTGGCTGAACTCTGAGGTCAGGGGTCTCAGGTGACATGGGTTAGCCTTTGAGGCCTCTTGTTCCAAGGAACCTGAGAGATGTGGGTTGAGGCTGGGTTTGCCTCTTTGGTCCCTATCTAGTGGACATAAGGTGGTTCTGAGGGTTCCCTACTGAATGTGTCCCAGAACTAACCCCATAGATCCATATGAGTAACCCCATAGATCTTTAGACAAAGGAAGCCCAAATTCTAATTTCAAGATGGCACATTGAGCCCACATCAAAATCTCTCTCCTTCACCAAAACCATAAATATGATAGAAGAGATATTTTACAAATAATAAATATAAAGCCCTTCTTGAAAACAAAAAGGATTCATCATGAACCAGAAATGAAGACTCCTCCCTAAAATATGGAAGCAATAAGCCGAAGTGTCAAGCCTCAAGTGCCCCAAGACTGGGACTGAGGCCTCCATGATGAGGCCAAGTTTGTCTTAAGGATGCTCTGCTGGGGATGCTTAAGGGAGAATCTTCCCACAGGAGTTGTGAACTCAACTTAGAATTGCCATATCTAAAGAAGACCAACACCATGAAACAACTCAGCAAATGAAAGAACACACACCCAAGGAAATAGAAATAATAAAGCCGGTCTAAAAAGGAGTTAAGATAGAGAAAACCCTCTGGCTGGAATTGGACTCAGTGAATAGAAAGGCTCTTCTCCTCTGTATATTCTCTTACTTGGAGCATGTTCTAGAAGCACACTCTGTTTTGGAGCAGGAGACACTCAGTTCCAGCAACAATTAGGTAGAAGGACAAGAAGTAGGAGGATGAGTAGACCTAGAGGGACGAACATGAGATAGGCTGAGGGAAGATGTGGGTGAGTGGGAAGACAGGTCGAGAGGAGGATAAGAAGCAGGTAGAAAGAAAAACAAACAGGCATAAGGAGGACACACAAACAAAGAGAAGGACCAGCAGGCAAAGAGGGGAGAGAAGGGCAGGCAGGGCAGACGGGCGCAGTCCTCCACCTCTCACCTTCACTTGGCTCTGGATCTGGAAGGTGAAGGTTTCATTCCACTCTGGGTTGGGGCAGTTGGAGATGGTCCTAGTCCTCAGCCTGTCATGAGAGGCGGTGGGCAGCCAGAGGCTCACAAAGCAGTCTGTCTGGCTCACTGTTCAAAGAAGACATGGGTGGGAGGGAAGGTGAAGAGCCAACTCGGGTCCAGAGAGGAGAGTGTGGCTTCAGAAGGGAACTTCAGACAAGTCACTTCCAGAGCAAGGCGTTGTCTCAGCTTCAGGTCCCTTCCTGACTCATGGGTCTGACTCTGCAGAGACCGTTGTCCCAGAACCCTGAGAAAGCCATAGCCTGTAGGCTAGAGGTTTCACAGAGGGGGACCCAGGTCCCACTGACCATTCTCATGCACACAGATGGCCTCTGTCTCTTATCAGAAGCACCCTAGCTCTCCCAGTAACTACCTGATGGTTTGGGACAAGGTATGACCACGTTGTTTTCCCTCTGCCAGGAGAAGATCTGGAGGATCAACCCACAGGGTCCAGTTTACCCCTTGCCTTAGCCCAAGGCACAAGGGAAACTAAAGTAGAGCCCAGCTCTTCCTCTGGGCTGAGGAGAAGCAGGGATTAGAAGGGACATAGTCTGCTGTCAGTCAGCCCACAAGGCCCTGATGGGAAAAGGCTTGGGGGAACAAGCTATTCAGCAGGATCTAGGAGTAGTGAGCACCATCTACACATGACTTAATGTCTCAGCTGCACCTGGCTGGGGTTCTGCATACCTACACTGGTCTCCCAGCGTGAAGCGTGTGACTCAAGAAACCCTCACATCTGAGAGCACGTACTTTTTTCTCATTCAAAATGAAAAACTGAAGGGTGATGATGCTGAATGTGTTCTGGAGAAGAGACAAAGTCTCTGATCCCAACAGGCCCTCCCAAGGGGGAGGAGGCCCCGAAGTCTTCCGGTTGGAGAAGCAGAAGGCGTAGGGTGAAAAATAGAAGCCTAGCCCAGTTCCTTGCCTCCATTCTACCTGGGGGAGGGAGGAAGAGGTGCATGACTGCCCTTGTCACTCTCCTGGCAATCTGCTGGGGTAATTCCCAGGGTACATATCAGATATGTAGAAAATGGTAAAAGTCAAAACAGTTTCCAGGGTCAGAAAGTCCTCCAGACGGTAATGTTGGTGTGGGGATGGGAGTTCTGTACTGGTAGGACTGATCCAAACTGATGGTAATTGTTATTAATAATGTCCCATGAGGGTGGAACTAGATGTGTCCCCCTGGACTGACTTATTCCTACACGGTCACCACACTGAGAATTTTATCGGAGTTAATAACCATGGTTTGTATCACAAGAGAACCTAGCTTCTGATTTCATCCCTGACGTCTGGTTAATCTCTGAGGGCTCACCATTCAGTGAATTGGAATTCACGGCCCTCCTTCCTTTGAAGAAAGTGAGATGACACTGTCCTTTAGATGTCATAATCATCATTTAATCCAGACACAGAGAATGTCCAAAACCCAACAGAATCAAAAGAAAATAATGACCTCTTCATCCCCACCCATCCCCTCCATGCCCAACCTGTTCCTCCTCACTGTCAACTCAGCCATCCAGGCCAGACACCAAGTATTGGCCCTGACTCTCACATGGAATCGATGTAACTCCTTAGACTTCTCGAGCCCATCCACTTCTTACTTGCACTGCCACTGCCTTGGTGCAGGCCACCATCATCTCTGCTGCCACTTTCCGACGGGGCATCCTGTCTCCTGTCTTGCCCTCCTCCAATCATTTCTCTCAAGAGAAACCAGAGGTCTCTAGAGCTGACCATATCACTCACCAGTTTAACATCCCTCATTGGCTCCCATCTGTCCTCAGGAAGGTGTCCAAAACACTCAACATGGCTGCCCCTCCTGCTATCCCAGCCTCTGTCTCATCTTCCCACCCTCCCTATCACCCTGGCCTCTGCCCCGACACTTTGCACTCCAGCCAAACCCAAACACTTGTGGGTCCTCAGAAGTTGCCATGCTGTGTTGCCGTTCTTTCTGCCTAGAGCTTTCTTCCACTTTCACCCCACCCTTTCCCTGGCTAGCCCCTCCAAGTTTCAGAGGGCACCTCCTCTGGAAGCCTTCCCTGAGCTCCCAAGTCTGAGCCAGATGCCCTCCTAGCCCAGAGCCCTCCGCTCTTCTCCTGGCAGACCGCAGGCGACAGAGTGTGTAATGGCAGGTGGGCGTGTCTGCCTCCACCTCGGCCTGAACGCTGGAGAGCCTGGGAGACCGGTGTTTCTAGCCCTGGGAACATAGTCAGCACTCATTAGATATTTGATGAATAAAGAATGAATGGAAAAATCCAACTTCCTGCTACAGGGCTGTATCAGTACCCCAGAAATTCTCAGCTGAGTCACCACAGAGACAGGTAAGCAAGTCGGCATGTCTAATCGCTCTGCCCTTAGGGAGACTCACGGGGGACCTGCTCAGTCCTCCTGGACCCTTCCCTTGCCTTTGCTTGGACACCAGCCACTCCTACTGGGCCTGGAACATTCTCCTTAGGTCTGCCTCCTGTATGTGAGGAATGTGCAGACAGGGAACCCCACCCATTCTACACTCATTTTCTTAGCATGATTTGATGGACCCTGGAAAGGCCCTTTTCCCTCTAAAATCTCTTTCTTATCATCAGTCCATGCCTAAAATTCTCCCATTAAACCCATTAAATAAAATCTCAGTGTTTTCAGCCTAAGGCTTAAATCTCTAGTTAAGATGAAAATACTCCTGGAAGAGACAGAATTGATCAGAGACGACACTTTAAGCATTAATTTGTTTTGCAGTTCTTTCTTGGAGAGCCGTTCCCGCCTCCTCCCTCACACTGTTGGGAAAAAGGAGAGTGTAGCCCAAGGAGAGGGTAATCTTGGCGAGGGAGGGATGACGGAGGAAGGGTGCCTGGCCCAGATGATGATCTGGGCAGGCTTCATGAGCTGACTGTAAGGATGCTGACTGTCGTGTTGGCGATGAAGAATGGTTAAGCAACAATGGCCCAATTCTGAGAATTTCAGGGACTGCAGGGGATTTCCTAGGCATAGATAGGTCCCAAGCCTTGTTCCTCATAGAGTGACAGAGGGCTGGGTCATTTGAACGACATGTCTCCTTTCCTTGAGTGTGGGTGGCAAAGATGACTCAATGTTCTCTCTAGAGGATGAGGACATCGTCTCCCTGATACCTCTGGAGACACCTGTCTCACACTCCTTGGGGTGCTGGTTTGAGTTTTAATGAATTTTCCTAAGCTGGGAGGTTTCTGGACTGACTCTCTCTGAGTCCTGGCCCAGGGCTGGGTGGCACACTCCTTGATGAGGGAGTCATTCCTGGATCTCATCCCTTTCAGTCCCTTTGAAATCTTGGGAAACTCAGGCTCACATTAGAGGACTAAACCAGAGAGAAGCTTGTTTTCTCTTGATGCTAGAAGGGACTCATTTCAGGTAAGAGTAAGCCAGGGTCTCAAACCCAACCCAGGTGAGGCAGCAACAGAGCCCAGCCCGTAAGCACTGTGGGCCCCAGACGCAGCGTGACCTGAGATGGCATCCCCAGACACCATGTATGCCCCCTACTCTGTTCCTCAGGGGAAATGAGGAAAATACAAAACAACAAGGGGCTTCCCAAAGGGGACCGGGTACCCCCCAGAGGCAGCCTGTGTGCCAGAGGGGCATATGGGGAAGGGGGAGAGGGGGATGATGGAGCCAGACATTAGCCCGTTTCTCAGGCTGCCTGCTCCCCGAGCCTCATCCCCACCTCTGGGATCAGGTGGTGACGGGTGTGGCAGGGAGAAGACAAGAAATGGGAAGGTCTGAGCACGCAGGTGCGAGCATGTCGCGAGAGTGTGCAGCCAGGGTGACCCACAGGGCTGGGACAGACACACCTCCAGAGGAGGGGAGGCAGGCAAGTGCAGCTGTGGCACTGGGAGCTGCGGAAGTCCCCGAACGGAGTGGGGTGAACTCTGCCTGAGAGAGGCGAAGTGTCTTAGTGAGCCACCATGGCATGGCAAGAAAAGCAGCCAGGCCCAGGGTCCAGAGGACTCTTCCAGTCTCCTCAGCTCACTCACTGGTAGCTAGAAGGCCCTGAGGAGCCTGAGAAGTCCCTGGCCCTCTGTTTGGCCTCTTGGCAGACTCAGGCCCAAACTGGACTTTTGCTGGAACTGCTTCCCCGAACCTGGGCTCTGGACACCCCCTCCTCCAGCGTACCCAGTCTGAATCCTGCCCCATCACTTTGCTTTCTCTGGGGCTCCAGGGCCCTGCCTCCTCCTCCCTCCACACTCCTCCCTGCATTGCAACAACTGCTTCCTAGCAAGTTTCTCAGCCTCTCCCTGACCCTGCACAGCACAGTCTGCATAAGACCCCTCAGGAAGTCATGTGATCCCTTCCTTAAGAACTCGGGTGCCCCATCCCTTAGATCGGGACCCCTCCTCTGCCTGGCTTCCTGGCTCTCCACTGACTGGCCCCAGCCTCCCTCTTAGGGCTTTTCCACTCTACTCCCCAGCTCTCCAGACCTGGGACCAAACACTGCTTCCACTTTAGGCAATTGTTAACCTTCATGTGCAAAATGGGCCTCACAATGCTGCCCTCAGGTGGGTGGGAGGATCAAATGGTGTTTGGACGGCTGGCCCCAGGCCGGCCCCCAGCAGGTGCTTAGGGGATGTGGCTCCGCTCCCCCCATCGGGACGGGCACTCCAGCAGATTGGGATCCTGGCCTCTGGATGCTCACACTCTGAGCCTCTCAGACCGCAGCCTTCCTTAGCTTCTTCCAGCTTCAGCGTCCTCCAGTTCTAAATTCTCTAGTGACAAGATTGGAATGCCATCTTCTATTTTGTAGATAAGTGCATTCCCTGTTAACACGTTCTGTCGAGATGGCGGGTCTGTGAGCTCTCAGCCCCTCTGAGGCCCTCCCCGGCCTAGTTGAATCCTGGGGTGAGGACAGTGGGAGTATAACAGAGCTTTAGGGAAACCTAGTGGCCCTTGGGCCAATGCTGTGTGGTCACCCCCTAGCTGTGGGGCCTTGACACAGAGCTGTGTCCTCCTTGAGGGCCAAGCTTCCCCTCTGGATGGAGGGAAGATGCGGGCAGCATAGAGAGGGGCTTTTGATTCTCCTGACCTCTTGAAAGGCCACCCCCAAAGACAGGTGTCAGGGGAGCCTCCTGCCCACCCAGATGCCTTCCTTTCTTCCTGAAGCCGGACACTTCTCTGGGCCCCCGTGGCCCGGGAATGCAGCAGGGGCTGGGATGAAGGTGAAGTTAAGGCTGCCAGAAAATGGCAGGAACAGCCCTGGGGAGTCAAATCACATCCATGAGGCAGAACTGCAGAACTCTGTGCTAGGGGGCTTCTACCATGGACCCCAGAACCCAGTTGGGGATCTATGTCCTGAGAAGGGGCACTGGGACCAGGCTGGCCGTTGGCTCCATGATGCCTAAGGGCCTCTCCTTCTGCTTCACCCCTAACAGCCCCCAAACTCATGCAGAAGCAAGGATTGGCCAGTGTGGAAGAGGTTGGTGCTCCTAGAAATGTATATTAGGGAGGGAAGAGTGGCGAGCGGAGAATGAGGGGAATAGTGCTCTGGAATGCAGGCAGACTGCAGGGCTGGCAGTGCCAAGGCAGTAGCTAGAGGGAGGGGCCTGGGAAAATGATATAAACCCCAAAGTCTGAAATACAACCTGAGTATAGAACACACACACACACATGCATGCATGCAAACACACATACCCACACACACACACACATACAGACACCCCTGACCATTTCTCAGCCAGGGTCTCTCTCCACCCAGGCCCCATAAGCAGAGAAAAATGAGGAGGTTACTCACCCACATCAGCCTGTCGCACATTTTTCATCCGGATGACCCTCACTGTCAGCAGGTGGCATGGAAACAGCCCCCTCTGTGGATTGAGAGGACAGTGGACTCACTCTTCAGGCCATGATGGCAGATGACCGTGACGGAGAGAGCAGCTCAGGCTGGCCACGGGCTCCCACCACTCGGACTCAAGAAGCTTCCTCGAGTTAGTCTGCATTCCTGGGCTCTGGAGGACGCCTCTGGTCCCCAGGGAACCCAAGGCTGCGAGGTGAGGGGCTTTCTCCTCGCCCCACTCTGAGCCTAGAGGAGGGGCAGCTTCAAGCATGTTCTGTTCATGTCTTTCCTGAACCTTTCCTGGTTTTGTTCTGCTTGGTTCGTGCCTTTCCTGTTTGAAACTTGGGATTGGATTCCCTTTCCCTGAAAGTTTACCTGGGCTTAGACGGGTCTTTTTACCATCTTCTCCTGGCCTGTGCCCTTGGCAGACACCACTGGACTTCTCCAACTGACCAATGACTGTATCTATAGGCCTCTGAGCTAGAACCCTTTCCACTCCACACAGTCCACTCTGTGTTGCTAGAATCACTTTGTACCTTTTTTTAAGAGGTTGCAATTCTTCTTTATTTAAAATAAAATTGGGGTTTGGAGAAAAACATAAAAGTATGAAGAAAAAGAATGAGTTCACATAATCTCACCACGCAGAGACAATCACTGTTACCATTTTGATGTCCGTCCTTCTAGCCTCTCCTGGGGCTTAATTCTAACCAGCAACAATAGCACAAGGACTCTGGGAAGGCTGTTACTCGGTCCCTCAGGTAGATATGTAAGTCAATTTTAGGCGCTCTTTCTCCTCTCTCCCCAACGGCTGCCTCAAAAGCCAAACGGACAGTCACACATGGGTCTGAGGATTCCTTCTGTGAGATTAACTCGGAAATAGTGAATATCTTCAAGGTCAATAACTTGCTCTAACAGCATTCTGTTTTGAGATTTGTAACTTGGGCCAAAGGCCACACACACCGCTTCTCTTCTAGTTCTGGAAATATGGCTGTGGCCTTGGGCTAGAACCCCTCTGGGCACAGCGGGCTCCTCAGTTCTCACTCCCCACCAGAGCAGAGAGGGCACCCTGGTCTGATCTGGTGAGGAGGCAGGAGTCAACTTTCATCAGGAGAGCAGTTCTGGCAAGGTCTGCTCCCACTGGCCCACTTTCTCAGAGGACAGCTACGGTTCAAGCAGGGAGCCATTGGAAGCCTCAATCCAGGCAGGGGTCAGTCCTCATGGTGTTGAAGGTCTCTGAACCTGGGACCATGGGCTTCTTGGCCATCACAGTCCTTCTCCTGCCTCCAGGAGGGGCTGTCCTGCCCAGCTCCCTCGTGTCTTGTCTGGAAGGATGTGAGCTGCCACAGCTTCCCGCAGGACCTCACCAGGGGCCTCCCTGCCTTCCAGGAAATGCTCTCTGCTGTCACCTGACCCTGATACCTCCCAAAGAGGTTGACCCTTTCTTCCTACCCTAACTCAGCAACACTTAGAACATCAGCTACAGTCTGTTGAGTGTCTGCCATATGCTAAGGCTTGTATATAACCTCTACATTTTATCTGCTCGATCCTCACAACACCCCCATGAAGCAGTTATTATTAGCCTCACTTTACAGATAGAGAATCTGAGCCTAGGTCCGGGGACATCAGGCATTCAGCTAGAATGAGAGGAACCCAAGTTCAAACCCAGTTCTAATTCTCTGACCTGTGCTCATACCACCACAGTCCTGTCACCTTACTTGATTTTTTTTTTTTGAGGAAGATTAGCCCTGAGCTAACATCTGCTGCCAATCCTCCTCTTTTTACTGAGGAAGACTGGCCCTGAGCTAACATCTGTGCCCATCTTCCTCTTCTTTATATGTGGGACGCCTGCCACAGCATGGCTTGACAAACAGTGCGTAGGTCCACACCCGGGATCCGAACTGGCAAACCCCGGGCTGCTGAAGCGGAATGTGCGAACTTAACTGCTGCGCCACTGGGCCGGTCCCTGTCACCTTACTTGAAAGCAACCCTTGGCAAACGTGAAGACAGGTGTTGCTTGCCCTCATCTCCTCTTCCTTGGTCTTTCCCTCTTAGAATCTACTTTTCTGATAGATTCCTCTTCTTGCTCTGAGTCCCCCAACGCCCAAAAATGACCCGAAACTCTGGAGTCCTTTTACTTGCAGTCCTCTTACCAGCTGCATTTCTCTGACACATTCCACAATCTCTCTCTTTTTTAAACAGCCAGAGCACATCCGAGCCTAAGGGTTCTTAGAGACATTCCATTGTCCAGGAGCCACAGAGGGCTCCTTTGTGGTCTACCTTGAGTCTTAGCCCACATCTTCCAGCTCAGGAATTTGCAGGAGAGACCCAATTTCAAAGCACTCTACAAGATATGCTCACATCTTACCAGCAGGGAGACAGAATCTGGCAGGGGGGTTGAGAAGTAGCCTGGAGAGGCCACGCCAGGAGGAAGGCAGTGGGAACATGTGACTCAGGTCTTGGGCCCAGAGGATTCTGGGAACCAGATCTGTGAAAAATGACCTTCTTGGATTAAAATGAACATACATATTTTGCTCCTGGTATAATTGGCTCAGTTGGCATGGTGGTTGAGATAAACAAAACTTCATGGCCTTAGAGGTAATTGATACACAGTAGAAAGAGCCAATAGAACGAAGCACAGTGTCTGTGACTATGCAGATGGGAACCAGAAACCGGTGAGATTATGGAAGCCCAGTTTATGGGGTAGCTTATGATATGAAGAGGGAAAAACTTTAGGGACTTGGGCAAACCCATCCCTAGGACAGGATGCCTTGGCTGGGTATCAGGGTGCAAGTCAAAATATTTAACAACAGGCATAGCCAGGTGCTGAGCCAGCTGGGCTGCAGCCCTGGAGCAGGGATGGGCATTGATCTTTTGGTTGGTGGGGGCATAGGACCGTCCTGGGGTAAGGACCAGGGAGCACTCGGGGACTTGCAGCTCAAGGCAAGAACTGTTTGGCAAACAGTACAGAAGTGTATTTAGGCACTTTAATAACTAGTACAGCTGTTTGGGGAGGATGGGCTGGATAGCAGTTTTCTGGGAAGCCACACGGCAGAGAGGACCCCACTGCTCAGGCTGCAGACACACACGCTCCAGCCTCCTCCCTGACCTTGGTCCCTGGGGCTGGCCTTGCCAGGACTCCATTTCCCCTGGAGACCTACTCAGGGCCGGGGTATCTTGCCAGCTCATAGGGAAAAGACGTAGCCCCTTGATTCTCAGGATCAGCTGTTATGCAATTCAATATTACCCCTCCCACCCCCTGACTCTACAGATAGGACCTTGGTGGGCAGGATGGGGAACACGATGCATCGCCCTTCTCTAATGTGCCTGGCCCTGACTCCGCATGGTGGGCATCGCATCTGTTCTTATCTCCCCCTCCAACCACGCTCTGAGGAAGGTCCCATTTTCCCTGCTTTGCAGAGGAAAAGACTGGGTTTACAGAGATTGCATCTCACACAGGGTCACACGGCCTGGAAATGGCAGGGCTGGGACTCAGGCACAGGTCTACCTGACTGCAGGGCAGCAAACTTCCCATCTACCTGGAGGCTGGCTCTCACTGTGAATTAACCAAACCAGCTAAAAGCTTGCTCCAGGTCATGCATTAGGCTAGTTAATAGCGGAGGCAGAAGGGAAACTCTCAGCTCCCAGTTCGGGGCTCTCCCTACACCCCAAGAGTCTAGCTGTCACCACAGATCAGTCAGAAGAATATTTATTTACAGATGGGCTCCAAGGGTCAGCCTCCCATTGGGGGTGGGAGTGGAGGGGAGGGTCTGACAACTATGTTTCAGAAGTGGTGGGTCCGATGCCCATCCCTGCACCAGGCATACCCTAACCAGACTATCCCATGCGGTCTGGGGTGCTGGAGAAGGGAAGACAGCTTCCAGGGAGCCTGTGGGAACTCCCCTCCCCAGGGCTGCTCAGGGTAGGCCCGGCTGGTGAGGCCACCTCTTCCTCCCCGGAGAGCTGGGTGTATCCATCAGTTCTTTGCAACATGTGTGTCAGAGTGCAGACCAGCCTGGTGATAGCTTCCAGGATGTGTTGGCCCTCCCTGAAAAGGAGACCATTGGGATGGGGACTTTTGGGGATCCCAGAACATTTCCCAGCTAGTCTGAGTAAGGTGCCAGACCAGGGGTCTCCTAGGAGGAGCTACCATGGCGGTTTTCCTTTTTATCACTCAAGTCTAGACGAAGTCCAAGTTCTCAGTCATGTGGACCCTCCAGGACCTGAGAGGGACAGGCACATTTCTCAGTTGCTTCACTCTCCCCTTCAAGGTCAGCTCTGTCCCTTCTCTGGAAGGTCTGTCCCTCCCCAGGTTCCGGGAGGCTCAACGAGACCGGAGAGGCAGGAGCAAGAGCTGACTGGAGGCCCTTCCTGCCCCCCGAGGGCTGTGGGGAAATGTGGGCACACCCCAGAAGGTGATGTCTATCCTGGCCAGGGCAGCAGAGCACTGGGCACCACGCAGCACGAAGCTCCCCTCCTTGGGCTCCTTGGAGACTGAGCGGGGTCTCCATCTCCCACTCCAAAGGGACAAGACACGTTCAGGGCATCACTCATCTCATACAGACATTTAGGGCTGGGGGAGGGGGTCTCAGGTGGGGGATAAGGAAGGAGTGGCTGCTGACAGTCCACGCCGTGGTGTGCCTACCAGGGCAAATTGGGAGATTGCGGTGAATGAGGAAGCCTAGGCAGAGCTGGTCCAGAGCTCTGGCACCCTGACCCATGACCCCAGGGTCCCCATGAGAGGCTGTGAGAAGTTGGATGGACCCAGGAGTCTTGACCACACACCCAGGTGGCAGGCTTCTTGGCCAATGGTGACAGATTGGCAATGCCACCAATCCTCACCATATATGACACCACAACCTCACGTAGCATGGCAGCTTAGGATGTCCACAGGGTACCTGTCCACTCTTTTTGGATCCACTCCTGGCAGTGCTGAGGACTGTCTACCTGGGTGCTGGCCTGGCCCCAGGGTGGCCCTGAGCTGCTCCACGGCACCTTGTCAAGCCCGTGGGTACCCTCAGCTGGGCCATACACCCAGGAGCCTGGGCCCCAAGTGGGCCAGACTGTGTCCCCAGGTGCTAGGTAGGGGCTGCCTGAGCCAAGGTGTTCCGTGTCTCTGGAGTCCACAATGCCCCCTGCCCTCCCTGAGCCTGTCTCCTGCCCTCAGCTCCTGGCCCACCCACCCAGCACTGCTCCCTCACCTCCAAGGTGCAGGTGGCCGACGGCCTGCCATCTTCTGTTTGGCTTGGGTCTGGCAGGGAGTGGAAGACCCAGGCGGGCATCTGCCTCTGGAGCATCGCGGCAGCTCTCCAGCTGGGTGGCGAGATTGAGAATTTATACTCTGACTCAGAGCTCCGCCCTCTGGATGCCTCTTGGCAGTGGCTGGGATTTGCCAGGGGAGTGGTTAAGGTAGGTATATAGACATGAGGGCCTGGGCCAAGCCTCTTAGTAGCAAGAGACCCTCAGGTCTTCAGATTTTGGAAATGCAAGGACCAGCAGGGGCTCTGGCCCTTGGAGTCAGTGGTCTGCTGCCCCTAGAAACTCAGACCCGCCTTGCCAACCAAGGGATGGGTGGGTGGCAAGAAGAGAATGCTGGAGCATCACGACTTTAGGATTGGCCCAGGCATGATTTGGGAAAGCCCTCTCTCTTCAGCTTATAGAGATCGTGGCTCACAGATACCCTCTGGGGGATGGTGCCTTCCCTCCTAACTCCACTTAGTCCCATGGCTTGGTGCCCCAGGAGCTGTGGGCAGGGGCTTCACGGGAAGCAGCGACCACGGTCAGGGCTCCCAAAGTCAGTGGGGGAAGAAAGAAAATAATTGCCCGAATCTTTGCTGAGGAGAAGGTCAAGGGCACATGCCCCCTCCCCTGCCTCCGGGGAGGCCAGGTGGAGAGAGGGTGTGCCCAGCCCCTGCCTGGTCCCAGGGCCCCTGAGAGGATGCTCCCGCCCTGCCCCACTGATCCCTATCTCTGGCCTGGTGGCTGGCTCACTGCGGGCCCGGTGAGGCAACTCCACCTGCTCGCTGCCCAGCTGGGTACACTGGGAGTGTCCTGCCTGAGCTATCCCCTGGGGCCCCACAACCGGCTTTTCTGGCCCACAGATTAAACCGATTTTATGAAACTGAGGGTGAGATCTGAACACAGGGCTGACTGGGCCCTAATGCAAGAATGGAAACTCGTCGGTGGTGTCTCTGAGACCTCTTCCCACCCCAGGTAGAGGTGGCTCCGACCCTGCTCCCCGCTGCTTGCCAGGTCCTCCAGAGATGGGATGGGGTCTCAGCATGGTCTCCTCCCAGCTCGCGTCCTTCCCTGCCCCTGCCGTCTACCCCACTGCCAAGAACACAAATTCAGCACCCACACCCCTCAGCGGACTCCACGAAATTCAATTTAGTTCATGCACTTAGTGAGCACCTACTGTATACATGCTACTAAGAAAGGAAATCCCAGGCTTGAAGTTGCTGACAGTCCAGCTGGAGAGTGAAATACATCCAACCCCTCAGAGGATCAGAGGTCCAAGTCTTCTGTGGTAACAGGGGGTATTCTAGAAGGATCAATACAAATCCTTCACATTTGTAAACATCTGTGGTTTACAGAGCTCCATCACACAGCTAAGAACTGGCGAGGGAGCATAGAAGTTGGAAAATGGAGGTCAGCTGGGAAGGGAAAGAGTGGATCTGAGAAGGCTTCACGGAGGAGGTGGCATCTGAATTGGGTCTTAGAGGATGCATAGGATTTCAACAGCTAACGGTAGGTGGGAAAGGCATGATAGGAGGAAGGAACAGCACGAGCAAGAGCAGGGAGACCAGAAAGCAGGGTATGCTCAGGGACGCAAGTGGTCTGATGTTACAGCAGTGAGTCATGTGGGATGCAGAGTGGGACACAGGGGTGGTGGAAGTTGGCAGAGAGAAGGGAGGTTTTGTGAAGGAACAAATCTGGAAAGACACATTAAGGCCCAATAGTTGTGACCCTCACGGGCCACTATTTAAATTTGGATTTATTCTCTAGGCAATGGGGAGCCATCGATCGTTTTTGAGCAGGAGAGTGACATCATCAAAGCTGAACTTTAAGAAGACAGTGCTGATTGACGTTGTGGGCAACCCAACCCACAGTACTACAGTGTCCCGAAGGTGACGAGGTGAGGGGTGTGGTGAGGGCCAGGAGACCTCCTCCCTGAGGATCCACCTGTCTCCCCACTCCCTCCACTCCCCTTCCCCATCAAATAGACCCAGGGCAAGCCCAAGACCCCAGGGCATTCCTCAAAGTCTGGTACTTGATTCTCTTCCTGCTGAAAAAGCCCATCCACAAACCCCCCAGCCCCAGCCCATCCATCCCAGGCAGGGCCTGGGAAATCTAGGTCTCCAATCCTTGTATTTCCTCACTGGCTGTGAGCTCCTGGAGAGCAGGGCCTCGTTTTAGCTGAATGGAATCAAGTTGAATAAGAGGCTAAGTGGAGTGGAAGTTTCTTCCTCCGCACCCTCTGCACAGCCTCTGACCCAGGTGAGAGCTGGTGTGAGAGCCGGTGTGAGAGCCGGTGAGAGAGCTGGTGCAATGGCAAACTGAGGGGACCAGTCTACCAGCAAGCACTTACTGACTGCCTGTTGTGTGCCTGGCTCCATGCTGACTGCCAGGGCCAGGTCTGGAAGGAAATGACAAAGGATTTATGGTCTAGTGAGGGGAGAAAAGGGGCCTGGATTCAGTGGCAAATTGTCCAGTGTGGACTCTAAGTGGGGCAGGAGGGGACAGAGGACCCCGTGGGGATGGTGGGAAGTGGGCTGGGAAGGTGAGTAAGGAGAGCCAGGCAAAGAGCAATGTCCACTGGCCTCACCTCCTCCTCTACGCCGACAGGTCTCCAAGTGAACCACCCATTTAAGCTGAAACAGTGTTCTTGGTGCACAACCGATGCTCCAAGTCTCTCCCCCACGTCCCGAGTCTCTCTCCAGCCCCCTGAGTCTCTCTCCTGCCCCCATGTTCCTCCATGTGGAAATCTGAAGCTGTCTCTGCACAAAGTGGAATGGACTGAGTTCCTTTCCACCTAGAACCCTCTCCTCCTTGATGAGCAGGGAGCCTGAGTTCTCCCCCAGAGATCCCCAGTCTGTGTCCTCTGAGGCCTCTACCTCCAGCTGTGTCCGGTAGCTTGTTAACTGACTCCCACTCATCTGGATGACCAGGACCTGCCTCTTGCCAGCAGCCTCTCGGCCTCAGGTAATCCAGCACTGAAAACTTCCTTCCTCCCAGCCACTCAGCTGACATCACTTGCCTGCGAACCCAGAAAGGACGAATTCCTCATCTTTCCTCTTTCAAGATGCCTCGGGTGCCTGTCCCTTCCCGTGCACCCTGTCAGCTGCACCTGTCTCCTAGCCTCCTCTGCCTCTCACAGTTCATCCCCCACACACCTGGCTAGCCAGTGAGCTTTGCAGCCAGCCCCTTCAACCTGTCATTCACCTGCTCAAACGCAGCTAATGCTTTTTCAGTCTTGCCAACAAATTCTGGATTCCAATACCTCCCATCGACCAAGCGGAACCCAGAAAGAGCCCTATTATAGCATATGGAATTTTAGCATATGATAAAGGAATTATTTCAAATAGTGATGCAAGGATGGACTATGCATTAGTGGAAAACCTACCTTACCATCTAGAATAAAATAAAGTTAGATCCCAAATTCTTAACTACACGAAAATAAATTCCAGACAGATTAAATATCTAACCATTAAAATACAACTATAGAAGATTTAAATTAATATTAGAGAATATTTATATGATATTAGGATGAGGAGAATCTTCCTAAACAAGGTACAAAACCTAGAAACCAATAGGGAAATGTTGCCAGATTTGAATGTACAGAATGGTAAACTTCAGTAAAGCAAAAGATGCCACAAGCACGGTTCTACCTCCAAAATATCTTCCAAATTTCCTCCTCTCAATACATACCCATCAGTTACAAAACCCCCTTAAAAAATCATGGTAAAGAGGAGAGTCTTGCCCTACCAGATACTAAATTACAAAGCCACAAGAACACAAGCACTATGTTGTTGGCACAAGAACAAGACAAGTGGAACAAAATAGAGGGGCCAGAGACAGGCCCTAATATTTAAGGGAACTTAGTATATGATAAAATTGGCACCATGAATCAATAGGAAAAGAATAGACTATTTAATAGATGACATGGGCATGAGTGGCTCACAGATGAATAAAGCAGCATCCCCACTTAGCGCCATATATGAAGATGGACTATCAATGGGATCAGCACATGAAATGGAAAACTATAAAGTTAACAGAAGACAACGTAGCAGAATCTGCTTGTGATCTGGGGGCAAGAAGAATTTCTTAAACAACGCTTTGAAACCCTGAACCATAAGGCAAAAATTTTCTAAATTTGATTACTGAAGGATTTCTGTCCACTAAGAACATACAGAAAAAGTTAAAAGATAGCTGACAGAATGACAGAAGATATTTGGAATGCATTTGCAAATCACCAAAGGACCAATATCTAGCATATACAAAGAATTCTTATGTAATCCACCCAAAAAAGATGGCCATGCCAACATAAAAATGGACCAAAGATTTGGACCTGCATTTTATAGGAGGGGAAACCCAAAAAGCTAATAGCCTTTTGAGGAGATGCTCAAAATCATTGGTAATCAGGGAAATCAACTTAAAATAACAATGAGTTCTCACTGCAACTATTAAATTGGAAAACACAGAGGAAGTTGGATAATGGTTGCTTTTCTGGGAGGGGAGAATGGGGGAAGGAAATAACGACCAATCAAGAAGGCAGGCATAGGAGGACAACAAGGACACCAGAACCAAGCAGGAGAATGGGCCATGTGCTCAGCCTCCAGCACTCAGGTGACATTTTTCCCCTCCAGCTTTTCCCCAGCTTTACTGCCACTGCTCTAGTCCAAGCTGTTATCGTCACTCATCTCAAGGACTGCGTTAGGCCAACTGGTCTCTCTGCTTCCACTTTTGCCTCCTGATAAGCCTCTCTCTACAGAAGAGCATGAGTGATCTCCTCAAAACAGAAGCTGGATGATGTGACTGCCTGACTCAAGCTCTCCATGGCTTCCGGGTGCTCTTCCTTCTTGCCCTGGCTCTGCGAGGTCCCTTGTGGTCTGGCTCCTACATCTGCTCTATTCCTTCCCTCACGCACGAGTTCCAGCTGCACTGGCCCTCCGTGCCCTGAACATGCCAAATTCTTCCCCCCATCAGGGAGTTTGCACTTGCCAGTTCCAGGTCTGAAGTCTTTGAACTTAACTCTGCATAGCTGCTCTTTCTCATCCATCATGGCTCTGCTCAAATG